ACACCTTAATTTACGATACAACCATGAATGTGGATGAGAAGTATACCGTATTCCGAAAGGTCATCCTGAAGCCATGACAAAGGGCATAAATTCCTAAATTGGTGTTCCGGAGTTGTGAGTAAAGGTCTCCGTCATTGGATCCCGATACAATAGGCAGCCATTTTGCAGATAAACTGCCCAAAGAAACCGACCCAACGGGTTTTCCAGCGACTCAAGGCGTATGGCCCATGCATTCCGTCTAGGCTTCTTAAGAGGGAATGGCGCCCGAAAGGTCAACTTCCCGCTACACGAAACCGGATACGAAGCAAAGGCTGGCTATAGGCGGATACCATTCACGTGGCGCAGGACGTTGAAATCCTTCGAAGCGTTGGAGACCATAATGCCGCCAGTGAGAACCCAGACCGGGATCGGAATGCACTTCAGTCATCTAAGACACAAAAAGTTTTTTCCACCTCTGTATTATATCCCAGAGAACTTCAGAGACTGCCATGCTGAAAAGAGCGCTTGACCCACTTGTACTGTTCGCCATTTTTACATGAGGATGGTCAGACCTATTTTCCTACAGTGACTTCGTACGACTGTCTCTGCTGTCCAAATTCGAACAGAAAACGGATGTCTCAAAAAGCCAGACGAAAGGTAGGCAACCGGCTAAAATATGCAAAATACATTCTTATCCTATTCATGAGTGCCTGGGAAGGAGAGTTTTGGTGTGCTTGCCACATCTATTCTGTCCCTCCATTTTTGGCGGTGTGGTCTTTGACCACTGAATATGGGTTGCACTATTTTGGGAGACACAAATTCTGGAATCGGCTGAACCAATTGGTACAATAACCAACAGACACCCAAGTAGGGTATTTTTCGGCAATCCACGTCAGGAGACTAGGCCAACAAAGTTTTCCTAGAGGTAATTTAAGCTGGGCGAATATGGCGGAGCAGGAGCCGAAGCGCAGGAGCCAGTAGTTCCATCCCAACCATGCCCCTCTTATCAATCTATGACTTGATAATGCAGGTAGACGGTTTCCAAATAACTGACCGCGATGTCTA